GTGGACGTACCTAAAATTGTAGATTTTGAGGAAACTTTGCGATCTTTTTCTATCGAGCCAAAATGTGTCAATTGTGTGTTGTTTCGTAGTTTTTGATGACAAAAAATTGCTTTTCTGCGCACCTATAAAACGTGAAAAATCTGCTTTTGGCACCCACATCACCTTAAACGCAATTGGCACATCTTTTTTTCTCGCGAGAATTTGAATCGTTTTGTTCGATCCAGCTAATATCGGGCAGGCTCAGTCTTGTTAAAATAACCAAAAAGGTAATATCGGGTAGGTTCAGTCTTGTAAAAATTAAGTCTTGTCAGTTGCGGGGTCACAGATCACAGTGCGAAAAATGGATAAAGATACAAAATTGATGATATTGCGACAGTGCTGGAGAGTTTTGAAGCAATAATTCCAGATATAATATTCATCATATCTGGAAATATTGCTTAATAATAATAGTCATTTCAAAAACATCTGCATCTAAAGCAATCCGAAATCTAGTCCATAGAATTATTGTTAAGCTAAAGTTAGATTTTAAGTAAGAGAAACATTAAACTGGTAATTCGGCATGAGACAGAATGCTAGATATTTTGTATACCTACTAAGTACCATAGCATTCAAGGTCATTTTGTTGTTATCAGAATGTAGACACAATAACTGTACATAAATTACCATTACCACGAGCTTTATTAGGTAAATGGAGAAAGGTACATAGTATGTGCCAAATCAATTGAAAAAAAACGGACAATGACCTTCAATATGAGCCGAGTGTCAAAAGGCGTAACTTACAAAATCTCAATTTAGATGTGATAACAATATTTAAATATTGATATTATTCACACTTCTAGGTCAGCTCATATGATTTTTTTGTTTCTTAAATAATATAGACTGTGGTTCCTACAAACATCGTAAAAGCTTACGGTACATCGCGAAAAATGTATTATATTTTATATTTCAGTTTATGGTAAGTAACGCAGCAATTCATTTAATAAAAATTTCATATTAAAAAAATATTTTAAGCAGTATAATTACCATATTGAGCTTTTGCAAATTTATCCTTTTAAAATAAACAAAACGCGCGTTACGTCAGTTTGTTCTAAAAGAAACGTGACAATGGCAGACAGAGATGTGTCACCTTTTTTTGCACGTGGCATGGATGATAGAATTGACCAAACTGCAGATCGCTTTATAATTAATGTTACAGACAGTTCATCAGAATACACATCAAGTGAAGATATGAGTGATGATTGCACCGAATAAAAATAAAGTTCTTATATAATAAAGAAAATAAAATAAAATATAATAAAGAAAATAAAGTTTTATCTTTTCAAGAAGTACGTACTTATACGGTGTTGTTATCACTCGAATCTTTATATGTGGTATAAATTAATGCTTTTTGTTGTTAAATGAATAAAGTACTTTATAACAATAGACGATTTTTCTTCTACAGCGATCTTTTACATAACTGTTTAATATAGTTAATATATATATATATATATATATATATATATATATATATATGTAAATCAATCATTATAAAAAAATAATATTAAAAAAATCAATATAAATAAAGAAAGTACTACATATAAAATGTGCCTATATATTGAAGTTTTGTAACCCCTGGCTAAACGACCGAAAGTCATTGTCCGTTTTTCTCAATCGATTTGGCACATACTATAGTTTCGTAGTAATAAGTCAGTCTTGAGCACCAGTATCGGAAAGCTCCCGCTTGTGTGAAGCGATGGCGACGGCGCAATTGCCCAATTTGCGATTATTCACTTTGTTGGCGAAAGTGCATTACGTGAGAAGTTATTGATACGTAAGTTGGCAAACAGCTATAGGATATTTATCAAGACATCGATTACAAAGGTACAGTCTTTACATGTAGCGATCGTTCTTTAGACGGTACTTGTATAAATTGGGGACACATTATAAACTATGGGAGAAACTATGCATGACGATGGTAATTTATACAAGTACCGTCTAAAGAACGATCGCTACATGTAAAGACTGTACCTTTGTAATCGATGTCTTGATAAATATCCTATAGCTGTTTGCCAACTTACGTATCAATAACTTCTCACGTAGTAGTAACACGATGAGATAGTTTACTTGGCAAGATGTCAACGAGAGAAATATTACCAACATTATCATGATGATGACCCTCGTCTTCTAAGAAAGTCAGCAACTGGTCAAAAGTAGGTATAAAGTTAATGTCATCACCATATCAACGTTTAAACTTTAATTTAATATCAGAGGTAACTTACATGGACATATAAAGAAAAACATGTGGGACTAATGCTTAAAAGGAAGATCTCAACGTTCCAAACAACGAAAAGAATTTGATAATGGAAGGATGGAAGAATTTGATAAGAATTTTATAAAGGCAGTACGGAGACCAATAAGCGCTGTCGATACGTCAGACAAATACATTATTTGCCTTATAACCTCATAACGTTATCCGCTTGAACTGCTAAATAGTGATCTTTTCTTTAGAAGTCCGCAGGCTATTGCATATGCCATATGTATGTTTAGAATGAAGAGTAAGGCGGAGTGGTTCTTCCATCAAAGCACTGACCCATTATTGAAGTTTTAGTGAATGAGTAGTAGGTACGAAGCTAGATATCCACCACATGATCAAATTGATCCAGGAATGTAATCAAACCATCAGAACGACCATTAATTGTATGTTTGGGAAGTTCTGTAAATTTGTCGAAACAAAACCTTGTGTTCGCACCACGGACCACCCAGGGTTGTGTTTTTGCGTAAAATACTTGCCGCCTTAACAGGATTTGGTTCCACGTAGGATGTGAACAGTTAGAGCAAATATTTATGCCAGTTTTTCAACTAGCATCTGTTTAAAAACGGCGCTTGATAACAAATGGTTTTGATTCTTACAAAAAGAACAGCTAGGAAAGGTAAATGTAGCTGTACCTGATTAAATTAATTTTTGAATCAAACTTTAAATTGCTTTGATTGCTATCTTAATAATTTTGTAAAAGATCAACACGATCTTTAAGAAAAGGTTTTATAACTTGAAGAATTGGCATGTCTACAAGGGTATTTTGGTACACTTCCCAATCTCCAAGCGTCACCGAATCCAGTTTATAAGCTACGAGAGAAATAATCAATATGTCCCAGTATTATGTGTTTTGACCTAAGTTTTCAAGTGCTCTAAGGATTTTATTGAGTGATTGGCCTCAGTAAGGCCGCATATTCTTTCTGTATTTATACTAAATAATGCGTGTATATGTTTGTTGATAGCTGTCGCATGTTAATGTACCTCTCATTGATAAGTTGCCAAGCAAGGCGATAATTGTCTCATGAGTTATGACATTACTTATATTTTTACTATGATTTGTGAAGCCTAAAGCCTTTCATAGAAGCTTTCAATTAATGAAACTTTTGTATGTTGTCCAATGTTGTGTTTTTATGAATGAGTGATCAGAAAGAGTCTCTGAATTCAAGCCAATTATAATATTCTCCAGAGAAGCATGGAAAGACAGTAGAACCCACCATAAATGCTTTTGTCCCTATATTACATGTATTTGGAGTTTGTACAGACTCGTCGTTGCTCGTCGTTTCATTGTGTAGTAATATATGAATGATTTAGTAGTTTAACTGCTGAACTGAAAATAAAATTATGTATTTTATTAAAGTAGTGCCTTTCAATTCAGAGGAGTACCTAAAATTTTGGTCGAACTCAAAACTGCTGGTACCAAACCCTTTTTTCTTCTGTTAGTTACTTGTTGATGAATTGTTGCCTTTTTGCTGATTAATTGTGCCGTGACCTCACTGCTGCGATGACGACCACGTGGTCGACGTGTATGATCCGACTTCTTTCTTGATCGCGACGCGAAATTTAGTAATCAATTTTTGTCTGCATTTAGAAAAAGCCAAATTTAGGGGCTTTTTACTAAGTTTAAAAATGAAGTGTTCTAAAAAACGCAACGAACTGTTGAAATTTTCGTTGCTGGCAAAATGTATCGTTAGCAACGCAGTGACGATAATAGATATACGATAAATAATAATAGCAAAGAATTAAGTGCTACTTAAGTGCTGAAAGATTATTGAGGTCGGATGAAGATGATTCTGGAAAATATTGGGTCCACCATTACCTTACTATAAGGTATAAACGGCATTTTTGTTCTTTATTAGTGATTTAGTATATAGCTAGTGAGACAAAACTGAAATTTGTTCACTGGTGTATTCACAACAGCCGCGATGCGCACAATTACTTTACCTCAAAGTCAAACCGTCACTATAGATCGGGAATTGGATTGAAAAGGAGTAAACCAAATGGGGGAGGGACAAGTATGTAAGCATCCGTATGCAGAATAATGGAATGCAAATTACTAGGATTTTTTGCTGTACATCTTCGAAATGGGTAGCCCTGACGGCAATATTTTAACGGGTTCTTACCCAAATGTATCAGCTCTGTGAACTTGGAACTCGAACTAAAAAAAATATTTTTTTTTAATGAAATATGCAAATTTTCGAAAAATCTTGATCGTCAATGCATTCAGCATCGTTTGTATTTCATGAAAAATTACAACTTTTAGTGATTTTCATAAGATTTTTTAGCACTATAAACGATCAAAAGGTATTACAATTATCTGCGTTGTTTATAGTACGCGTATTGATTTCTATTTTTTTTATTTTTTTACTTCGGGTTCTAAGTTCACAGAGCTAAATGTATCGGTTGTGATTGTAGTCAGCCGGAACTAAGTTAACTGCCAGTTCAAACGCATTCTGCGGCAACCGGGTGGACTTTTAGTTAAGTACTTTTTTATAAATAAAGCCTGCAAAACAAACAAAATAATGAATTTCAAGTTCTCGATGTGTATTTATTGTATCCCTGTTGCAAAATAATATGAAGGACATTTTTAACGGCTATAGGCTACTTCTTAATGTTATTTTAAGAACATAATATTAAAACAAATATACTATGAACAATTTTTATTGAAAACCATTACATAGATACAAAATTTAAAAAGCCAAATTTTATTTCAAAGATATGTTAATAATGTTAATAAATATATAGGGAGAATGCTCAGTGAACATCTCTGAGAAATATTTCTATTGATACTTGTAGTTAATACATGATTCACTTGACGAAGAATTGGTTTGGATGGATACGTCATTAAAGTTGCTGCTTCTTGTTCTTCATACTTTTTTAGTCTCTCCTCTATCCATGCTTTAAAGGTGAAAGATGGTAGAAACTCGATCATCTGTTTATTTATAGCATATCGCGAAGAAATTTCTCTAGTACAATCATTTTGACCTTTTACAACAACACCCACAAGCTGATTTTCGTATATTACTGGGCCTCCAGTATCCTTAAAACAGGACTTCAATTTGGTTTCTACACAATCAATAAAAGCAATATAATATTCATTATGTGTAAGTCGATTTTCTAAGCCAACATATTGCAATTCTTTAACTTGTCCAGCATCAGCATTCAAGCCAAATCCTAGAGCTTCTACGTCCACAAGCTGGTCCGCAGCAGTGATATTGCTCAAACTAAGTTTTGTAGCAAATGTATTATTATGTTTTTCCGTATATATGAGTCCAACATCTTTGCCTACTCCAGAAAACGTCGGAAATTTTTCGCTCTTTACTATGTGCAAAACAACTGCTTTGTCATCCTTTTTAGCGAAAGTAGTGTTAAGTAAGACGTAATTAATTGGCTTTTGAAAACAATTAGCCGTTGTAAGAATAAGCCCATTAGCTACTAGAGAACCCGCACATAAATATTCATGTTGTTGAGACATTATTGCTGCCATAAAAGGAAATTGCTTGATTTTTGCTTGACGTATTTCGTGCATTTGGCTGTTTTGTCTTCTTGTGCAAGTAACATTGTTTTGCTCAACTTCGAAAGGAATATCCATGGATTCGTCTTTACCGTCATCATTAGGATCTCCGTTATCATCTCTGTTTTCATCGACACTCTTTTTTACATTATCACTTGAAATACATTGTAAAAAAAATATAACAAGAACCAAAATCTGCACGAAATCAAGTACTTTTTTCATTGTAAAACTAAAGATATATATAAATAGCAACAAATTGTTATTATTATAAAAAGAGATTTGAAATTCTGTATTCACTTCTTTACTTCTTTCTGTGCATTTTATTTTTCAATACAGCCGTTTAAGTTTTAAGGCCAGTACTATTAAAAAAATGTAACTTCTCTCTGGGTAAATCATTCTAAGAAGTATGTACTGAACATATTAATAAAATTAAGTGAAAAACAAACACAAGTAATAAAATCTTAATTTTCTATCGAAATTCCTCAACTTGCACAACCTGCCAACTACACATTATTCACACATTTTTGTTACAGAATTTCAAAGTTCCTCTACTGAACATAGGCTTCCCCAATTACCTTTTATATAAAAACTAGCTGTTACCCGCGGCTTCGCCCGCATGGTCACTGGGAAATGAACTATCCATTGCTTTTTAAAACTTTAAAACTGAGTTTTATAGATTTGTCAGAGATGCAGCCATTAAAAGGAAACTAAGCAAAATTGATTCGTCAGCCTATTTAAATGTTTTGAAACGCAGCGTAAAGGAAAGCATGAAAATAGCCTGTTTATTCCAAATGTAAATGGGATATTTTTTTAATTAAAGGAAAGAGTAGGGATGCAGACTTTTGAAGAAACTGAGCTAAAGATTGAGATGAGTTTTCTGAAGTGAAAGGAAACTGAGCAAAATAAAGGACGTCAGAGATGCAGCCTTTTGATTGAAAGGAAATGAGTGTTGGGTGTGAAGAAAGAGTAGGAAAATTTTGAATTAAAAGGGAAGATCTTGGGAATTCTGATTATTGATTGTGGATTTTGGAACAAAAACTAACTGAACACTATTTTAAGACGCTACTGTACACAATGTTATATGTTTTTCCATTCGGGGAAAGAATGTGGAGATTCTGGGCATTTGACACACGCGAACATGCTACATACAGTGACCATGAGAGAAGCACGGTTTTTCTAAGTTGACCCCCGCTACCTGTAACGTTTGGCCTTGCGCTTTATTAATTGTCATAGCAAAACTGAGCTTAATAGGAAACTGCAACCTTTTGAATTGAAAAGGAAGATCTGTGGGAATTATAGGGATCCGTGGTATAATAACATTTTCACCTTTTCCTACGCCTATCAAAATTGTAGCACCGATTATGTTCCGTCCAAGATGTGTCACACGCAGCCTTGTCTCGTTACATAACCGAGGAGCATCTAAATTTCGCATTAGCATGACTGGGATGCCTAATTTTAATTGAAGCTTATGTGAGGGCACACCTGACAACTCTAGAGAATTTAGAAACTCTGCGGGATATGAAGTGCTCTGTTCTGTGTCCATAACTGTGTCTACTGACAAATACTCTGTTATTTCTCCTGCTACTTCGCTTAATATATCTGAATTTATTTTGTTAATGCTCTCATTTTTTGGTGCAAGAATCGCCCTTTCACATAACTATTTGTCTTCATACATGTTGTTCGTTAAATCTGAATAAACGCTCGCAATTAATTCGGAATGACTCTGTACTAAATTACAAAAATCTTTCGTCTATTTAACGCAGCCCACAGCATCCGTTTCAAACCGCCCATCGCCAATTTTTAATAGTGTGTCAGCATAGTTTCCAGCATTGATATCATTATACAAATGCACTCTCATATTCGTAGTTAAACTGAATTTTGTCACCTTGTTCAATAAAATAGATGACTTGAGGCATGCTTTAATTTCATCTGCAGGTGTGCCCTTTTGAATGACTCCCATTACATCGGTATTCGTTTTCGAGCGTTCGATTTAGTGCTTCTACAGCTTTTTTATGCGACATTGTACTTTCGTCCCACACTAAAAGTTTGCATTGTCGTAGCATTATACCTCGTGCACTATTTTTGCTAAAGTTGCAGATCGGCGATTCTTCCTGGGCTAGATTTAGAGGGAGTTTTAAATCAGAATGTGCAGTGCGGCTCCCGCTTAGCAGCGTGGCGGCTATACCAGAGGAAGCGACAGCCACAGCAATGTTTTTATCTTTCCGTACTTGCGCTAATAATAAATTTAACAAAAATGTCTTCCCAGTTCCACCACTCGTTTTTGTTCGGGAAGCAAGCGGGGTACAAATTCGGCTACTTGCTGCTGCAAAGCCGGTATATCGTAGTTTGTTTCACGTATAATTTCATCACTTAGTTCATTTTCGGTTGTTCGCTGAGGGCTTATCATTCCAAAGTCGCTTAATTTTTTGCCTACCATTGCCATTACTTTATCTTCAATTTTTCCAAGTGCTTCATTATAAATGTGTTCATTGTATGTCATGTTCGCGTGTGTTTGCTGTAACCTTCGCGAAATATCTTCCGCCATGTACTCTTTATATTTGTCCCACAATTCATGTGCATTAGATAGCCCGCAAGATGATATGAGAGTTGCATAAAGAACCCTAATTTTGGCTGGTGACTGGCACTGAACAGCTTCCTCCATGGTTTCATCCCAGTGATTATCGTTTTCTAAAAGATGCAGAGCTTCACAAGCTTCTCTATAAGTTGCGCATTCCTGACCGTTGACAGTTTTTAGGTCTTTATATTCTGTAGGACCCCGAACATGGTGCAGCAGCAATCGTAAACAGAAACATTCAAAATTAGTTACATGGACGGTATACACACGACCACGGGCATCTGATGACTTTACACCGGGCCAATTTGCAATAGGCGCGCCTTTCCACTCCTTCCTAGATGTGTTCCAAGTATAATAGCGGGGGACTTCAGAATATAACAACGTTTTTGCAAAGGGGTCGGTTTGACAAAGTTTAAAGAAGGCTGTTAGCGTAGTTTTTGGCGGTGACGCAATTTTTTCTTGGAAATTTCTTTCGGTGAAATATACACGCTCTCCATTTTCTAAGTGCACAGCAAGGTGAGTAGCTGTTGGGTGCCTTTCGTGTAAAGGGAAGCCAAGGAGACCCCACGCTGCCTCGTTACTGCTGATATAACGCCCTGCTTGAAAGGTCTGTACTTCATTAACGGGATTTGCCTCACCTTCACTCTTGAGATTAAATATTACTTGGTCGCTTCCTTTATTTATGTAGTTACAGATATACTTGATTGCGCGGACAGAGCTACATGCTTCTGCTCTAACATTAATGTGGGCATTAAACATTTTACATAGAATGGGCGAATACGGGACAATCCAGCTGTTATCTAAGGTTTCGAACGCTCCAGAGCGAGATTTGATTGTAACTTTCCTGCCACCATCTTCGGGAGCTCTGTGTCTGTATAAAGGGTAGCCATTGTCATTGTGCACTGTTTCTTTTAATAGCTGTTTAGGGAATTTCTTTGTACATTTTCCTTCTTTCATACATGGCGATATTGAATTTCGTGCTCCACATGGACCGTAAATCATATTTCGGACGATGGTACCATACAATTATTTATCTTGCTCAGGATCCGGAATCTCGGCGCTTATTATGTCGTCTATTTGGCTGGGCCGCAACTTCTCTTTAAGCCATATTAGAATGTGGGCATGCGGTAATCCCCTTTTTTGCAATTCAATTGAATACATGAAGCACTGCACCTCTCGGAAAATTTTCCCTTTGTTAACTACATTCATTAATTTTTGTACTTTTAATCTAAATACTCTAGCAACTAAATCGTTTCTGTCAGTACTTTTTTGGCCCGGCATTAGCTCCTCGGTTATTTCTTTCCATGTGGGATTGCAAGTAAAAGTAACAAAAAGATGAGGTCTTCCGTAAGTTCGTACTTAGGCGAATGTGTCTTGTGTGTACTCATGTAGGTAGCGGGGACTGTTAACGAATGATGAGGGCAGAATTACCATTTTACCTAAATCTCTGGGGTTTATTTTGGCGTCGCTAGAAACTGCATCTTGTAAATGTATATAATTCTCAACGCGCAGCTTTTTTTGATTTAAAGATATATAACGGAGACGTTCACTGTCTACCTTCACATACATGTCTACCGAAAATTGATGAAATAATTGTCTACACCGGGCTAACAGGTTAAAATCATTTTCTCGCAACATCATATGATACGAATAAAAATCCATTCATGATACTTTTTTGTTCGGAGTAGGCTCCTTTGTGACCGAGTTAATGAGTGGAATTTGAAAATGATAACCCTCTTGTCCTTTGCAATAAATCAATGGGTATTGCAGAGCGTCATAAAACTTGTGTGTATCGGCTACCCGTTGCAACGTATCATCACGTGCTCGCAAGACAATGTCTCGTGAAGAAAATTGATCACAACTAATTACGGCTGCTATTTCGTTTATCAAAGGTGCATTGTAGCGCTTTCATGCTCCGAAGGGTCCGATCTGCGTGAATGACGACTTTATAATCCTCTTCAGGTAGGTTTTCTAAAGCAGTTCTAAATGTTTTGACTAAAATGTTACGTTCATGCAAGAATCCTTGAATTTTGAACGCTGTGTCTCTCTCAACTCCCTGGATAAATTGGCAGCGACGGTCTACCTCAATTTCTTCGTCACCCGTAAAATATACTTGTAAAAATTTATGCTGTTCATTTTCAGCTGGAAAAAGTGAACCTATTCTATGATAAATTTGCCTTTGCACCGTAAATATAGGCGATATTCCGGCATTGTTATTTCCCGGTCAACTCCGAAGGACGTCATTTGAAAGCATGAGTTATATGTCCGGATCCTGTTTAAAAAGCGCCGTGACTCATTAGCATCATATAAAAAGAGAGTTTTCAAATGTACTTCTGGTTCCCCAAGTAACGGAAGAGACACTTTGCCATTGGAACAGCACATGCCTGCGGTCTCATCTTTCCATTTTAAAGCGCTGCAAAATCGACACGCCTTGTCCATCAGTCCGATAACAACTAACCTGTGATTTTTATAATCAATCAACGGATCATAATTGAATGCTGCGTCATTAAAAACCGACCAATGGTTTCTTTGAAAAATTTGCCGACGTTCAGCTTGGAGCTGTGCATTTGTATCTCTTCGCGCCCGTGTCTGTTCTGGTGTTTCAGATGCCCATATAGTA